GTAATACTGGACCGCTAACCAATAAAAGGCCAATTAGCACACTATATGCACTGCTATCTTGAGCGACATACATTTCGGATTTTTTCTTTAGCCGGATAGCCTTTGATCTAATGGAATTCGGGAAAATGATTAAAATGCACGTGCAAAATATTATTTTTTCTGATGGTAGTCTGGACAAGCTTGTCCGAGCTCGTCAAAATTGAGCAGAAGCTGGATCAGCATCCGGTTAAATTTATCTCCCGAAACCTAATGGACAGCGTCAGGTTAAATTTATCTCCCGAAATAACCGTACATGTGACTAGCTTATTTTTCTGATGGTAGAGTCTGGACAAGCTTGTCCGAGCTCATCAAAACTGTGCAGAAGAATGAATGAATCATGTGACGTAATACAGTATGTCAGGTGATGATTTATAGCACAGTACTTAACATATTTTACGAAATTATTAATTACATATTCCAAATGCATTACACATACTCTTACACACTCGCAAAGCAAATAAAAATATAGGCCCCGAATTGTAGGGCAGAACTTTATTAAAAAGTTACCATATTCTCCCAAAAATGATGGCCGAGGCTGGACAAGCTTGTCCGAGCTCGTCAAACCTTATGCGTTAAAATTTCAGCCATTACATATTTGGTTTCATCTGTAGTTAGATTTAAGATAAATGATGGGGGGATAGATCTAATCCGGGCTATTTTTTCTTTACCTATGCTATTAAAAAGCTTATACATCTTTTTGGATTTCTCTGTCCTTTTTCGCAAAGCTTCATCAGAGCATTTTGTTTCGGGAATCGCCTTCCTAACCTCTTTTTTAACTATCGCTTTGGATCCATCCTTACCATGCTCGGGTTTTAATTCCTTGTATCATTTAAATATAGCTTCACCAAAATCAAAATAGCTGTGGATAAGACCTCGAGATGCATCTTCGTTTTTAGTTTCGGCATTATCAATCCTATTCGAGAGTTGCAAAAAATACTGGCTGGTCCTTCTGGGATCGCTCCATTTTCACTTGTTTCTTCCAAGTTCTCTCCAGCAGTGGGAACAGCGTGCTTGATACTTTCTTCTTCCCATTAGTCTTTTTCGCTTTCTTGTTGGACGATTTTTCGGTAGATGCGGATGATTCCCTAGTACGTTTTTTCTGTGCATCACTCGGATCCGATTCTACTAGAGTTGATATCTCTGACATCGTTTCAGACGAAGGGCAGGTAGGGCACATCTTGCGAGAATCCTTAATGCAATCGTAATGCACAACATGTTTGCAGGGTAAAAAAATAGTTGGTTTCGTGAATTCTAGGGAGATTTCTTCAGAACATTTCTCACATATAGGGCGTTGGATTTGTCCGCTAGTATCCTTTGAAATCGAGTCATCCCGATTTTCGGAATTGCCAGGTGTAATGCTAACAACCTCAATAGGGCTAGTTGCCTGGTCAGAAGTTTCTTTAATGATCTGAATAGAGCTTGATGCCTTGTCAGTAGTCTTGGACGAACTTTGCTCCTCTCCGCCTAATAATCCTAACTCCTTCATAACAGTTACATTGGAATCCTCATCCACAGGAGTTGCATTTTCCGAATCCACTGGCATGGAGGTGGTATTTTCATCAGTAGTTGAAGGTTTGTCTTGCGATCCCTTTTCCTTAAAAAGATCCGGTGAGAGAAAAGTTTCAATATCTCTATTACAATCCTTATTCGGGCATCATGCTTCTCCATTCACCAGATACTTTTCGAGACACTTCTGATGAAAGATGTGTCCACACGAAGCTAGGGTAAATTCTTGGTATTGCGGGTTCGATGCGAGTGAATAAACCTCTTTTCCACATAATAAGCATGGAGTCACATCTGGGATATTGATATGTGTAGCAAGAGTGCTAGTAAAACTGAGGATATTTTTTGCGAGCGCTACAATGTGTGTTCTATCCATACCGTCTTTGTGTATAGCTGAAGAGTCTTAAGCAAAAAAAATGATCATTCTGTTTTATATCACTCGCTAAATTTCGCAGAAGAAAACATTCCCCGGATTTTCATCAGCAATTACGCACCACATTTCGTCATTCATTAACCCCTGCAAATCAATAAAAATGACTTCATGATTAGCATAGATATCCCCAATCCCATATGCGAAATAATGATTGCTGGAAAAAATAACCATGCCTGAATATTGTTTTATTGATATGATACTAGCGTGAACTGGAGACATGCAAAAATAAATGCAACTTGAGTCGAAAAAATAATGCGAATATATATGCCAATCTTACGTCGCACAGCTCCTACAGTATTCCTTCGGCAAGAATTTTTCCGATATCAACTGCGCATTTCATCTCAATGATCGGATGTTTAAAAAATAAATGTATACAAAATATGATCATAGTACAACACCGATACGAGCAAACAATAAATGCTTTATTAACAGTGATTATATTGTACATTTTTGAGAAACAAAAGAAAATATAAGAAATTGATACGGGTATTAATACTTGATTTTCGTTAGGATCGGAGGATTAGGATACTACATGTCTAAAGTATTGCCTTAAAATCGTGTTGTTTTATATAATATAGCTAGTACGTAATAATTGTAATTATTCTAATTAATCTAATCCATTATTTTCAGCATCAGCTTGCAAGGGTAATTTTTTTTGGATGTCGTTAAAGATCGGCTGGCTGAAAAATTGTGTTAGCATTCGCTTTGTTTTATATTTGAATATATTTTCTTCGGTCATAGTATCAAAAAAATCTTCCATTGGAGCTATATCTGAACTTACATTAGGAGCCACAATGTGTTTAAGCTTCATTCTTTTTGGCAATGGTTCTTCTATTTCTGCTTCCTGTTGATCCAATTCCTGATCCGCCAGACTCATATTATGTTTTATGAGTGCCACAGCCGAATCTCTGGGAAGTTTGAGTGCCTTTATCCTTCCCTCCTCTAGCCAATAAAAACGCCAATCGTCATTGAGGTCGGTTAATACTGCCAAAACAGAATATATGGATTTCAAGTCTGCAGTTATTAATTCTGCCATAACTTGATACGTATCTGCTTTTACAATAACCTTCTTTAACTTAAAAAGAATTCGGATATGTTTCTCTGGCATTTGGAGAGCAATAGAATGCCTGTCTACTATGGCTACATCTGTTGTACCGGAGAGTTTAATTGGTAAGATATCATTGCCTGTACTAAGGAGGGAAGTTTCGTTGGTTGCATCACAAAGCCCGAGTCCCCGAAATGTGGCTATTTGGAGTATCGTTCTGAGATGATTTAAGTAACCCTGTTCCCCGTCTCTTTGTGCTCTTTCTGTAAGAACGCTCCATTGAAAAGCATTAGTCCTCTCCGTAGTCAACTCCATGTCAAGATCTGTCATTGCTTCGTAATCAAGACCAAGATATGCTCGAATCCTTTCCCAACTCTCATAGTTTACACTTGATATGTTTACTTCAGATTTCTCTCTCTTCATATCTTTAATATCCTTCTTCATTTCTTTAATATCATTGCGTATTTCTTCATTGGCAGATCCTCTATTAGTAGCTGAGATATAAATGAAAGAATAGTGATGTTATCATTACAGTTCTGTTTTTCTGCTTGTCGAAGTTAAGGTAATAGTTTGTAAGATCCACTTACCAACAGCAACAGGAGGAGCCGGTACATCGACGATAACGTGAATATGTCCATTAGCGGGTGTGGGGAATTTCTCTTCAATATTATCCATAGGTCTCAACACCTGACCACCCATATCACCCACAATGTTGGCATTTGGATTGGTGAGAGCGGTTCGTTGGAGGTTTTGCGTATTAAGATCGATATTTACTTGATATAAAGTGAGGTCTTTTACTGAAACACCATCTAAAAGAGGGCTTAATTTAACCTTAATAGCATCCTTAAGTTCGTCAACGGTCGTATTCTTATCATATTTAATCCCGAATACAGAATTTTCTGGATCCCCGTGGACTAGACAGTAAATTGGTGCCTTTTTAGGTGGCATGGTGATGCAAAAATACGGGACTCTACCAGGGTTGCCATTTAAAAGTTTGGATCACATGACCATGCGCCACTGTCGCTCCCCACCTACTACGCGCCCATATCAAGATTTTTTTTATCATATCAAAAAAAATAACTTTTTTACGTCTTTTATTTAATACCACGAGTTCTAAACTAAACCTTTAATAAAAATGACGGTGAAAAGATAATTTAACAAGGAGATACTATTTGCTAAAAATATGGTACTTTAAGTTTATTATAGAGCTTTAGACTTATAATCCCTCACTACTATATTACTCATTATTAACTATTTTCAATATTAATTAGTTCTGCCTCATCAATTATTGCATTATTTTCCATATCTGAGCATGACAAATACATTAAGTATGGCTTTCTAGTTGCTGGACTCCAAGTTACTTGCCGGTATCTTTTTCATTTCACTGTTTGTATTTCTTTTTCCATTGGTATCAACCGACTCCATTCCATCATTGCACAAACATGGCACCAATTATTATTTGATTTTTTCATACAGATTCTTTTAGTTAACTGTTTAAATAAAGGCCAATTTGATTTCACATAAGCACAAGTATTCTCTTCTGGATTCTTATCAATATCAATACTCTCTAAAACTTTAACAGATATTGTAGATGTTATAGGCAAAGTGCACTCAAGACCCTTTATAACAATAAATGGTGTAGTGGTACAACATTCAAAATTGATTCTAATTAATTGTCATCATTTACCATCAGGAGTATTTATAACCTGTTGAACTAGATGCTTGCATATTAAAAATCGATTTTCAACAAAGGCAGGACAGCTACAAATCCAGCGAGAAATCTCAATAAAGTATAAAATAACAGAGTCAGTCATTTCTGTATCAATATACTTCCTCTTGCCATTGGTATTTTTATCAACACATATTTTTGCTCTCTGTTTGTCACTTGCATCCGCATAGACCCATGCTTTTTTTAAAATCTTTCCACTACCATAGTTCCACCATGCCAGTTAAGATCTGTAAGAGCTACTCCTTCTGTGTCAGTATTACCTTATTAAAAATCATTCAAAGCAACAGATTTAGCCTAGAATTATTAAAATGATATAGGTAACATTATTTAATAACATTCCAGTGAGCTTTGATTTTCATTGTTATCTTTCTGAAAGGTATTGTAGGTTTAACCGAGTGTGTTCACAAATGCCATTGATTAGGTGAATACCAGTTGATCCAAAGGTAAGCCCATAATATTTGCAGTATATTTGTGATACAAAACTGATATATTTCTATTACTGCACTTCGTCTTATTTCTATTGGTATTATAGTATTTTCTTGAAAATTAACAGGTATTAATGGATATATATCAAAATGCTTTTGTACCATCTTTAAGATTGACTCGCGATACTCTATTGGGCAAAAAACATATGTTCATAGATCTCAATTATTCTCTATTAAATAGAAATTAAGATCAATAAAGTCAAATTTATTTGCCACCTGATTAATATTATAACTTATAGATATTGGTTTCTTATTTCTTGATAGTTTAATCTTTTCCTTGAGCTTTTATTTCAGGGCTTGATTTATATGTCAGGCATAGAGTTGAACTATCAAAGGTCCCTATACCAAGCCACAGTACTAATTTCTGCAAAATCCTTATCAGTAAAAACAAAATCTGGTTTGATATCATATCTTTTTATGGCTTCCAAAAAGTTTTTCAAGACGTCACAGTTTTTTTCTATATCTATTACTCTTGTTGTAACAAGTACTAAATAGGCAATTGGAAATTTAGTACCTTTAACATCAGCCAATATACCATAAAGTTCATAATGCCCTCATACTGTCTTATATATTGCATCCAGATAAATTTCAGTAACATTAATACCTTGATACTTTATATTATTTATCAAAGGGTTGTAAATTCAATAGCTGTGACCTCTGAATTTCATATATACAAGCATTGATGAAAATCTTGATTGTTATATTTATCAAGCAGCCTATATGCAGATTCGATATGGTCTTTATGACATTAAAATATACTTTGTTTTGCCATAGACTTTCAGTAATAAATATATTTTGGAGAATACTTCAAAATGTTGAAACTTTGATATTGCAAGTGATTTATTAATTCTATCATGGTGAGGTATATATGCATTTTAATTTTTTCTCTAAGTTCAATAGGCATCTCAGTACAAAATTCCAAATGAGAATAGAGAGATTCATGACAAATATTTACTGTTGCAACACCAAGAACTATATCAACTCATATTATAATCTTATCTTTACAATCATAGCATATATATTATTTACGATTAGAGTCTTTATATTCTTCACCCTGCATTTCTTTTGATTGACAACACATATAAGTAAACCTACAAACCACATTGCCAAATTTTCTCGATATATTTACTTTGTAATAACTAAATGATTTTTTATTAGTTAAAAATAATTAGATATTAAAGTATACCTTATAAGATAGAACTTACTTCCATAAATAACCATCACCACTTTCGATTTCAATTATAATAAGATCAACAACTTCTTTTGCTATCAAATCTTAAATATTCAGATTGATAAGTATCAATAGATTCATCTGATAGGCTGTGTGTACTATCTGTCAACTCTTGGATCTTATGCTCTACAAAGTCTTCCACTTCAAAATAATCAAGTTCAACATATGCAATTTCATTGCCATGTTCAATTGATTCAATATTAGATGCTGAATTTGAAATTCCAGTCTGCAGATTCTGTTTATTTTTTCAGGCATGATTCTCTTTACACTTCTTACATGTCTTGTGACATACTCCATCTTAAACAAATTGGTTATTAGAGTGGTTGCTTTTGCATTTATTGCAGAAAATTATCATAATTGATATATAAATAAAATCTTAGTATCAATGTTCAAGTCTATCTCAGATCTTCGAATAAACATTTCTTGCCACCTAAATTATAATCAATATTTATC